GACCTAAGGTCGCGTGTTCGAGCCCATGGCTCTTCATGCCAGGCTGTTACGAGACCCAACAGGGCATCTGCATATGACTCACACAAACCCTGACTTACGCAAAACCAAGCAAGCATATCAGTAGCCCTGTCCTCACATCCGACCGCAGCCCTGTCTTCTCTTTCCAAAACACAGCCATGGATTTGACATCCAGTTGCCGCACTACATCTCCTAGTCCAACCTAGTCACTCAAACTGCGGAAAACAAAACAAACACAACAATCCTATTTTCTGCTCTTCAGACCGGAACTGACCCACTGTGTCCATACTGGCGTAGACTCCGTATCATCTCAAAATCGCACAAATAGCACAAAACCTACGATCCTTAAATCAAATCAACAGCAATCTTCAGAAAACATGGAAAGTTGTATCCATGAGGATCTGAGAAAGGAAAGAAAAGAAAGAAAAGGAAAAGGAAAACAGGAAAAATAGGAACAGAACCCTCACAACATAGAGAACTTCAGAAGCTCACTGAGTATCTTCATACAACCAATCATACGTCCATGTCCAGATCTCATCTCGTCCTTGCCCAAAACGCTTCAGCACCCGTTTCAAGAAGTCTCCCGGAAAATCTTTGAAGCGATTGTTCATTCTTGGACGACTGGACACATCGACGGTAAGGATACACCAAATCCACACTCATCTTTGTCCCCAAGAAATCCCACGTGCTCACACCATCGTCAGTCCTTTTTAGCTACAGGTTTTTCGGATAGCAGCTTTCGAAGCGTTCTTGAATCTGCTCAACTGGCACATGCTTCCTGCCCCCACACAGAATTACCACGCTCACATCGTCCATCAGTCGAACTCCAAACACATTGTGTTTCAGACTGCCCAAACTTCGGAGAAACCGGAACTCCGCGAAGGCGCCCATCAGACAAGCCAGCGGTGGGCTTGTACTCTTCCCCATCGGGATCCCTACTACCTGCCGCAGTAGGACCCCCGTGGCTCTTGTATATGTGTGTAAGAGTTCCCATCTAACGAACTTCCTGATCTGCTCCAAGTCCACAGTTTTTCAGTGGCCATCACCCACCGTCCGTCCAAATGTACATCCTCTCCCTCTTGTATTCACGCGTACCTTGAATCTCCTCTTTCCCATGTGATACTCAATTGCCCAGTCTACCGCTGCGATGATCTCATCGTGCGGTAATTTACTGAACATGTCCTTTATGTCCTATGACATAGACACGAGTTCAGACCGCGCGTTGATTTTTCTTCCAATGTGCTTATTGAACTGCTCCAGTCTCGGTGCCAAGGCAGACACAGATTTGAGATTGAAGTGCCAGTCAGCTAGCAATGTCGCCAGCAGTAAATTGAGCGTCCGGGCCGCAACTTTGCACGTTCGAACCGTAGGTTCTGAGAACGTAGGACAAATCGGCCTATACCTCGATAGGTCTTTGTGCTTAGGTATCACATACGCCTCACCAAACTTTCCTTTTGAGTCCCACCTCATGAACTGCTGAAGATCCAGTGATTTTGCTTCCGCTCTCATCTCCTTATGGATACATTCTTCAGTCTTAGTAACGATAGTGTAGCTAGGTGATAGTACAAACGTGCTCATCATCGCTTTGAAATACAACTTTGGGCATAGAACCAGAGTCGCCCCTGGGTTCCTGTCCAAGGGGGTCAATACCAACCCCTCCAAGGTCAACTTCAAACTCTTGACTTCAGCTGGATCAAGAAATTTCCTTCCTGCTGAACAAGTAGTAATCATAGACCTCGCTACTTCAGCTCTTGTTACCGCTATTTCATCGCCTCTGAAATTCGGCCACGATCGAATACCCACCGTTATCTCCTGCGCCAACTGTTTTGCGCGTTCAGGCTGGGATCGCTTAGGGATGTTGTTAGCGTTACCAATGAGGGGATGCACACCCTCCAAGTCCTGCAATCGGAATTGCACGTGGTCGTTTACCCTAGGGTAAGGCAGACCTGCACAGGTACAGGTCGACACGTCAGCTCTGGCAAATGCCCGCTGATTGTATAGCATGTCGGCCATGGAGGGGTTCTTAACCTATACGATCCGAACAACACCACGTGCAACGTCTTTCAAATAGTTCGGGATCTCCATCCCTTCAATCGCATCATTCACTACCTTTCTGACATCCACTAGCCTAATTCGATCGTCAAATTTCAACCTCACCACCATCTTTGCATTGATACTCCACCCATACACTTCTTTAATTGCCCTTGCCACGATCCTTCTTAAGTAGGTCGTAGTCGAGGCTTTCTGGAAGTCAGCGGCTGCCTTCATTAATCTAGTCAGTGCTTCCAAGTTACAGTTCTTGAGGGCTTCCATACGCTGCGGGTTCTGAAAGAGGGACCGTAGAAATTTCTTATCGGGTCCGGCTTTTGGAACCCATCTCCGCAGTTGTTCGATACTGAGTACCCCTCCCTCCTCCATCAACTTTTTACATTCAGATAACTTTTTCTTTTGGCCCTTCACTTTTACGACCGAATTCCCGAAAGCTGACTTGATTGGTTTCCAACCGCCGCACGAGCAATTACCGCGCTGGGTCCGTACAGTAAACTTCAGACAATCCTTCTCGTCCTGCGTCTTAAACACGTCGAAAATATCCACTCTCCGATCGTCCTGACTCCCAAGGCTAACTTTGACGGGTAGCACTTCCGTTGACTGTGTGGCGCATCGCAAGGAGTGTGCTTGCTTGCTGCGCTCACGCTTACCTCTTAGTCGCTTGGTTTTTGAGCTACCTTTATCTCTCATACCCCTGGTGTTGAAAACTGGGTTCCATCGTTGAATATACAATTGCTCAAGTGTTGGCAATTCTTCGGTTCGACACATATCCACTGGTAACAGTAGGTATGATTCAATTCCAAGGACTTGCCACCATCTATACAAGTGTGTCTGTTTCCGTCCCCTTCTGCATACGGACAGATGCTCTTTCCATCTCGTAGTCCCATCCCGACTAGTCTGTCCCACGTATTGCGCACGGCAGATAGGCGAAGCAAGGACATAGATTCCTCCGATGGTGCCGCTAAAAGCTACGACCCCAAATCGTTGGTAGAGACTAACCCACGAATTTACACACTTCCTCAACCACAGGATCTGGTCATGCAACGCTAAGCGAACGACGACTAAGCGATATACGACTTCTATTACTGCATCGTATTGTCCGATTCTACGTACTGATAGCAGGGCTTTGCATGTTCTCCACAGCTGATGTACACTGCACGTCTCCTCGTCCTTTTCACTGCCAATCCCTTCATCGGTTTCCTCCACCTCGGTTTGTTGTTGAATGCCTTCGATCGGTTCTCGCTCCTCCTTGTCCGGTCCGTAGGCGACTTGAGTACGCATTTCCGCGATCGCCAGTATGGTCTCCATCTTCTTCCCCTCGTAGGGGACATCTTTAGCTCGGCAAACTTGTTTGAGCTCGTCGACATTCAGATAGCCCAATTCGCATAGATTATCCGTCACATATCGAAGTTTGCCTATTGAGCCTGATTCGGTCGGGATCTTCTTCTTCTTCTTCAAAATACTTGGAATAGGTGACTTCTTGGGGGTTTTCTTCATCGCTTGGAGACGACAACTCAGTAGGAGTCGTTTCGGGTTAAGCACACCTCGTTTCGCAGTGCGTTTCGTCGGGGTCTCCATCGGAGGACTATCCCCAACTACTTTTTCGGCGCTTCGCTTCCTCTTCTCCGTAATATTCAATCTTCCCGTCTGCTCACTTAGAGTCTCCACATCGCTGTTTCCGGATTCGTAGGACTCCACATCAGATGTATAGCTAGGTAACTTAACTTTACCTTTACTACCTGTCTGAACCTGTCCGAGCAGCCGATGTTGTAGTTCCTCGCACATCCCACCCACGTGCATCCTAATCTCCGTATGTAAATCTTTTTGCATCCCTTCTCTCAATTCCTCCTCTTTGCGTTTCTTAACCTCCTTCTTGGCACGTCGTTCCTTCTCCAAACGTTCTTCCTCCTCTTTACGTGCTTGCTCCTTTTTCTCTTGCTTCAACTTCTCTTTCTCCGATTTTGCCTTCTCAACCTCCGCCTTGCGTGCCTCCTCAACGTCAATAAAGCTCTTCATGTTGGCTATCGAGTTAACCAACTCTTCAACTTGCTTCCTCAAACCCGGCTCCTCGGATACCGCTTGCCGCTCGATGCTCCTTGTGTGGTGTCCTGGTGATGAGGATCGTCCTCGTGGACTGGCCCGCCAAGCGCTACTTTCCCCGATTAGCCTTGGGCACTGATTCTTGTAATGGCCAGGTTCGCCACATTCATAGCATACTGGTACATAACGTCGTGGTGCTTCGCGTGGCACTAAAGTTCGATCATGTTGCTGGTAATGCCTTCCACCTTCATTGTAGTCTCGACGCCCCTATCGTGCTCGATCATGTCCCATGTCACTACGGTCTCCACTTCCTTCATATTGTCGATCCCGATCAGGGTCACGCCCGTGCTCCCTATAACCGGCGTTTGACATCTTGTCACGTTGGTAGCTTACACCACCCGCTAACGAATCCTGAATAGTGATGCTAACGTACTCCTCGTAACGAATATCACCGATAAATCGCGTAACCTCTTGTGGCTTGACTGACAATCACTTCGTATCATGTGTCACACTGGTAACATTGATAACATCGTAACACTTCATGTTCACTCTCGCTCAGCAACTTCTAAGCTGGTTCACATGGGCCTTCAAAGGTTGATAGATAAGTTGAGATATCACAAGTCAAAGTAGACGAAGTCATATAGACGAAGTCACACAAAAGACAATGAATATCCAATAGTACATTGCAGACAGTACAATCATACGTGTATGATTATTACACCGCCGGTGGGTATGGCACCCCGACCGGTTTCGACAGCCGCCACGCTGTCCTCCTCAGGGGGATAACCACCTACTTCTCCCTCGTCAAAACCGTGCATGCCACTTCCCCACCTCCGCAGTCAACCCGCCACCATCTCCGGAAACGGACGCGGATAAAACGTCATAGGACCTGAAAAGACCAAGAGCGGTACAATCGTTACTAATATAGGTGCTTGTAGCCTACCTGTTACTGAGTCCTACGACCCTGGTTCAAACCCTGACTCACACAAAAAACAACCAAACACATCAAACAAAGCCTAAAACCTAAAGGGACGTAGTGTACCTGCCACCTGTTCCACAGTCCGGTACTTCCCAGCCTGCATCGGTACTGGTCCAAAAACGGTAATCTACCCTACTTGCCGTCCGGTGGGGCTTACCGACCTAAGGTCGCGTGTTCGAGCCCGTGGCTCTTCATGTCGGGTTGTTTCGAGGCCCAACAGGGCATCTGCATATGACTCATACAAACCCTGACTCACGCAAAACCGGTAATCTACCCTACCTGCCGCCTGACGGGGCTTACCGACCTAAGGTCGTGTGTTCGAGCCCATGGCTCTTCATGCCAGGCTGTTACGAGACCCAACAGGGCATCTGCATATGACTCACACAAACCCTGACTTACACAAAACCAAACAAGCATATCAGTAACCATGTCCTCACATCCGACCGCAGCCCTGTCTTCTCTTTCCAAAACAAAGCCATGGATTTGACATCCAGTTGCCGCACTACATCTCCTAGTCCACTCTAGTCACTCAAATTGCGGAAAACAAAACAAACACAACAATCCTACTTTCTGCTCTTCAGACTGGAACTGACCCACTGTGTCCGTACTGGCCTACACTTCGTATCATCTCAAAATCGCACAAATAGCACAAAACCTATGATCCTTAAATCAAATCAACAACAATCTTCAGAAACATGGAAAGTTGTATCCATGTGGATCTGAGAACGGAAAGAAAATAAAGAAAAGGAAAAGAAAAACAGGAAAAACAGGAAAAACAGGAACAGAACCCTCACAACACATAAAACTTAAGAAGCTCACTGAGTATCTCCATACAACCAATCATACGTCCATGTCCAGATCTCATCTCGTCCTTGCCCGAAACGCTTCAGCACCCGTTTCAATAAGTCTCCTGGAAAATCTTTGATACGTAGCTCACGTTGCAGACTTAGGACCCTCATGGGGATGGCTGCTCACTCGTTATAGAATATTCTCTCAAAATAGAATCATGAATTTTAATTTTGAATTACTTCATTGAATGAATTCGAATTCATTCAATGAAAAAAAAAAAAAAGATTTTTTTTTAAGTATATCATATTGATTAAGTATCTATTAGAAATACTTTGTTTCAAGAATCTACATTATACAACATAGTGAATTAATTACAACAATTATGATTTATTGTATTTAATTATTCATTGTATGTAATATGTTATTATCATATTACATTATATTTCGGTCGATCCGGTGTCGACAACTGCCAACAACTGCACTCTTTTGTTCCTTGCTACCCCACGATGAGTAGTCCTGTCAATTCTTGTACTCCAAACATTCATTCTCCCATAGCGACTGTCCATTCTTGTACTTCACATGATACAAAACCCACTAAAAAAGTTGCAAAAAATAATTAAACTGTTTAGACCCCGAACTAAAGTGAAAACAAAAAGTAAAAAGTGAAAAAATACATGTGCGAGCACGTTTTGACACCCTCATCTTTGGCGATTTTTAGTTCTTATTTGGCTTAGCCAAATGACAGGAAAATTTACGGGCATGTACTTTACATCATAGAAAACTCACAAAACAAAATTTAGAAAAACATAATTATTTTTAGGCCCCGAAATAATTTTTGGCGGGGTCCAAACGCTATCGGGTTCGGACCCCGTACGGGACCTCGAACGCCCGTACGTATGGAGGTCTACGTGGGGACCTCCGTACGTACTGACTAGTGACCATGTATATGTATATATATACAGGGTTTCCTGACCGAACGTTCGGGGCCCCTGGGCTGGCCCCCAAACGTTCGAGCGTTCGGGGTCCCATTCGGGGGCCGAACACCTCCAGGTTCGTCCCCCGCCAAAAACAATTTCGGAGCCTAAATATAAGTTTTTTTTTTTGCGTTCTTTATGATATAACCTACACGCCTATTAATTTTGAAGTCATTATGCTAAGCCAAAAAAACATTAAAAATCGTCAAAGATTAGGGTGTCAAAACGTGCTCGCCCACTCACTATTTTGTTTTTTTTCACTTTTTACTTTTTGTTTTCATTTTATTTCGGGGCTTAATTTTTTTTATTTTTTTTTGAAAAATATTTAATGCGTTATTGATTATGTATACTACATATCTGTAAATTTTCAGGGTATTTTTCAATGGCAAAACATAATTAAAAATCGGCAAAGATGGAGGTGTCGAAAAGGTGCTGGCACACTCACTCATTGTAATTCTCTTTTTATTTTTTCTTATTTTTATCATAGTATTTATTTTATGTATTTGATTTTAAATTTAAATTTAGTACAGAATTTGGGTACAGTGCCCAGGCAAATGTTGTTTAGTTTATTTTTCTCCATAACGTTGTTTTTTCTCGGAATTTTTGAAAACCTTTATTTTTTTTTTTTTTGGTCCGCGTTCGGCCCGAACGCCTTCCGAAGGGGTCCCGTACGTTCCGGCGTTCGGGTTCGGGAGTTCGGCCCGTCCCGAACGCCGGCAACCATATATATATATATATATATATATTTCACGTTAGGTGCATGCCTCATAAAAAACAATCGTCTCATTAATGGAAAAAAAAATGAAGTATCAAAAATGGTTGTGTCAAATAAACTTAATCGACATTATTCGTTTGTAACTTCTAAGTTTATTTGTTTGATTTTATCGACAAATTTGAAGTGTACAAACCTATGCTACCAGAGTGGTCCGAGGTCACTTATTCGACCGGTGCAACAAAAATAAATATATATATATATATATATAGGGTAAGCGGCGTTCGGGACGGGCCGAACTCCCGAACCCGAACGCCCGAACGTATGGGACCCCTTGAGGATGTGTTCAGTCGTTCGGGCCGAACGTGGACCCAAAAAAAAAAAAAAAAAGTCATCAAAACTTCTGAAAAAAAGATATGTTATGGAGAAAAAAAAAATAAACAAGATTTGCCTGAGCATTACATTCGAATTCCTCACCAAATTTGAAATAAAAATAAAATGCAGAAAATAAATACTACTAATAAAAATAAATAAAAATAAAAAGAGAATTAAATTTAGTGAGTGCGCAAGCATGTTTTCGACACTGCCATATTTGGCGATTTTTTTTTTTTTTTGGCATATCTAAATGCCCTGAAAATTTACAGATGTGTACTTCACATAATACAAAACCCACTTAAAAAGTTTCAAAAAATAATAAAATTGTTTAGACCCCGAACTAAAGTGAAAACAAAAAGTAAAAAATGAAAAAATACGTGGGCGAGCACATTTTGACACCGCCATTTCTGACGATTTTTAATTCTTATTTGGCTTAGCCAAATGACTTGAAAATTTACAGGCATGTACCTCTCTTTATAGTGAACGGACAAAAAAAACTTCAGAAAAAAATAATTATTTTTAGGCCCCAAAATATTTTTTGGTGGGGGCCGAACGCCGTCGGGTTCGGACCCTGTACGAGACCCCGAACGCCCGTACGTACGGAGGTCTGCCCGGGGACCTCCGTACGTACAAGCTGGTGACCCTGTATACATATATATATTTACTTTTTATTTGTTATTTTAAATTTGTTGAATTCCGACGTGACCCTGAGGCAAAAGTTGTTCAATTTTATTTTTTTGCATAACATAGGTTTTTTTTTTCTTTCTTGCTAGGACCTTCCCTGGTCCTTGAACGGGCTGGCCACGTTGGATCCGGGTGACCCGGCTCGTAGCCCATGTGCAAACATAATTTTGTCACTCTTTTTTTACTAAAGAAAAAATAAAGTGGGTCAGTCGGCTTAGTTTATTGGTTTGTTGAGTGACAAAAGAATATAAGTTGACATTGTGTAAAAAATGCTAATGATTTCGAATGAACTCGACAGAACAATTAAGCTAAGTAGCGCGACATATCGATTTTGAGGTAGTTTGCTTATTGTGATGGACTATCCATTATGATGTCAATGGTTTAAAATTGATTGATTTACTCATTTGGGCATTACATAATATACTTATTATTATTTAATGAGAAAAAAATTAGTATTGAAATATTTTTTTGATTTTTTTTTTATCTTTTGAGCAATATGTTTATTTGTGTATAATAAATATTTTTATTATTTAATGAGAAAAAAATAGTATTGAATTTTTTTTTTGATTTTTTTGTCTTTTGAGCAACATGTTTATTTGTGTATAATAAATGTTTAGATTGTTAATTAGTCGTCTTTGTTTTCTTATGTTCATAGTTTGTTGGTGCTTAGTGATTATCAAATATGTAAGTGATTATGCAACTTGCTTATGGGAAGAAGAAATGTGAGGATCAATTGCTTTGTTTGTCTTCGAAAAAATCTTTTTCAAGTTAATCTTAATTTGAATAGGTTACTTCAACATTCGATTCAATTTGATATTAAAAGAGTTCGTTACTATCTACAGATTGAACAATTAGAAATTTGTCTCAATTTGCATTATAAAAAAAAAAGAACTTCTGTATGAAGAAGGTATAAGAAAAATATTTTTGGGGGATGAATGTTACTATGTGATGATTTTATGATTGTTGAAATCTTGTTCACTTTTTAGTTGTTGTACTTGACATAGTATAACAAATTGATGGTCATCTATGAGACACGTCATAAATCATGATTTTTCGCAATCTTTATGTTTTGAGAGTAAACGGAAAAAAATGCTATTAACTGTATGAGTTTGCTTATGTACGGTAAATAAATGAAGAAGGAAAATAAACACACGTGTGTCCTTTTATCTTGGGCTTCAACCTCTATAACACACGTAGACTTATTGTAACTTTTAATTATCATATGATTTACACTGTAACACTTTACATTGTGAAAGTAAAAATGATGGTAACATCATAACCATTATCACTAAACTTATCTGTATTTACATTGTCATGGTACCCGAAAGGTGTTTGCATGTTCCTTCTGAATAAAGCGATTAACAATCTTGCTTGGGTGAACAAGAGCATGAAGAATTCATTACTTTAAATTTGGTTTTTTATTTTGCAACGTTGAATATGTGTTTCTTTGTAGTTATATTTGTTGACGTTCAAAACTTTTATCTTTATATGCATATAATGATTTTTATGAATTTTATATGAGGAATTCATATATGCACAAAACAATTTTTAAGAATGCGGGTGAAAATTCAAGTTGGATGATTATATTAATCGGTTCCTATTTGAAACGTGAAACTACACTTAATGAAAGCTGATCTTTAAAATTTATAGTTTCAACTTGAATTTTCACCCGCATTCTTAAAAATCATTGACACACCTCTTTGGTGCACTTTGGGTCCATGCTTAACTTCGATAAGAAAACAATGTTGAGCATGAGGTTTGCCAATTAAAAATGAGACCTGTGTCAACCACTTTCGAATGCCGCTATTTTTTTGGACAGTAGCAATGACAAACCTCAACTCCGAGGAAGTAAATAGAAAAAAAAAGTTTCAGAGAAAAATAAGATGTCAAACGAAAATAATTAAATTAAGAAAAAAAACAATATATTTTTTGTTCACTTGTTAAATAAGTTGTTATTATTATTATTATTTTTATTTTTTGTAAGCAACTCAATTTTTTTTCTCTTTCTTTCTGTCTTTTCACGATTTGTGTTTTTTCCCCTCATTTTATGTTTCTCCCTCTTTTTTTTTTATAGGTGAAGGGGGTTATAACACATTCATGTTTATGAAAGTGAAGCTTGAATGTGTAAGGGTTTCAACTGCATGACCGATGTTAAATGGTGAAAACACATAAAACACCAACATACGTGCCAACGTCACATTAACAATTTTGAAAATTACCGACTCTCCATTGTCCCAAGACTGCTACAAGATCCATGGCTGCCTACTGAGTGGAAATCCTAATAACCACCCTCGATCAGGCGAGGGATTAACATTTATGGCATCTTAAACCATACGATCAATCTATCATGTCACAATTTGGTTTCTTTCCTTGTTTCTATTTTTCCCCCCGGTCGCCTTGTCATGTTTGTGTTTCCCTATGGATGTTGAGGCCATCGTGGTCCCCTGACTTCATCTTTGGGGTTCGCATGCCTCCGACTATTGCCTTTTTCCAAACATAACATATACGCGTTGTCAACAAATACAAGGCATAGACTGCTTTCTATTCGAATACAATGCATGTGCGTTCTATTCAAATTTTCCCAAAAAGCTGGTGGGAATACGGTAGCCTTGTGACAGCCACTGTGGATATAAGGGAAGCAGGGTACTGTTGGTCGAGGTGTGAAAACTGGTGGTCCAAATTCCAAACCTGGCTGGGTACCAGGTCCCAGTTCTACTGGTTCTTCACTTCTGGCCGTCAACCAGAATGAAGAATCCAAGTGAGTGCGACCAGCCCCCGAACAGGCATGCGCGAGTGCATGATCTGCCTGGACGTGAACAGGACCAGGTGCATCACCGCTCTTCAAATCGGACCAAAAAAGGGGTTTTGGGCAGCGGTGGGTATGGCCCTCGGCTGGCGAAGGTCGGGCTCATCAACGCTCTTCAAATCGGACCAAAAAAAGGGGGGTTGGGCAGCGGTGGGTATGGCCCTCGGCTGGCGAAGGTCGGGCTCCACCTGACGGCTGCCTCGGTTGCTGACTGCTGTTGGCGGCGTCTACCTACCCGTCTTCCCCCGAACATAACGCACCCTGAAAATGAACGTATATCAGGTATGTTTCCGGCCCGATACAGTCAAAATGAGGGTGCGTTGTGTTCGGGGGAAGAAGGGTAAGCGTGAGTTAGCTGAGAGCGTAGGGGCCTCGCTCTAGCACTCACCAAATGTGCAAAACAAAATGAAAATGAGAATGAATCGTTCCCGAGAACATGGAGAGATACACCAGAAGTTTGTCTTTTGTGGACGTCGGGAGGGGTGGGCGAGGCCCCCAGTGTGAGTAGCGCTGACAGAGGGAGAAAGCAGACGGTCGACATGCGCCGTGTTGTTCTCTTTGTGGGTTTTCGAAATCAACGGTGCAGAAAGAAGAATCCATCCAGGTAATAAGTGGGACCACCTGCGTGATCATCTGCACGTTTTGGTGCACATGCGCAGGTGCATGATCTGCACCTGGCCGCGAACAAGTCCAGATGAGGAATTTGTGCGGACCTCGGATCAGCGACGAGCGGGTGTCTCGGCCGCAGGTTGGTGTGTGACGTGGGCGAGGAGTGTGTATGTGTCTCCGAGAGAGAGAGGAGGCTCCGCTGGCCTCTGTGTGTGTGGCTGACAGGGAGACAGGCAGTTGTTCTACATGCCACGTGTTCTCGTCATCGGCCTCCTCCTCCTCCTCCTCCTGCTGCTGCTGCTGCTGCCACGTCATTCTCCGTTAATCCCCCTTTTTCCCGCCATCTCCATCGCTCTACCTTCTCCTCTCATTCCCTCTTCCTCTCTCTCCTCCTTTCTCCCAGCAGAATCGAGGCACATCTGCACGTCCTGGCATTGGCCCTCTTAACAACCCCCTTCTACCTCCATCCCCCTTCTACCTCCATCGCCATCTTGCTCCTCCTCCGTGAATCGAGGTACGCACTCGTATCCTTCCCCCCCCCCCCCCCCCCCAAAAAAAAAAAAAAAAAAAAAACCCACCGTATGCATCCCTCTTTTTTTTTTGTCATAACCTCAGGGGACCCCTCCCTTCCCCCTCCCCTTCTTGGTGTTTTTCAGCCGGCGCACCCCCATTTCCCTCCATCCTACCTCTCTCGAGGATCATCATTCTGTACTTGGGCAACCTGACCGTACAGCAGGCGTTCGGGCTACCCCTTCCTTTCTTTTTTTTTTTTTTTTCCCCCCGAATAAAACGTACGGTAAGTATTGCTGTGTTTAGACTGAAAGATACCCCAAATAGAGTCGTATTGCTGTATGTGTGTATATAGTCGATCTGTATTCAGAAATGAGGGTTGCCCCCCCCGGAATTCCTACCCTTTTTTTTTTTGGTAAAAAAAGTCGTAGTGTGAGCATGCCCTGAGTCCGTATGACGAGTGGCACAGTCCTTGGCTAACAAAGGAGAGGAGAGCAAAGGAGGAAGGAAAAGGGCAAGAGAGAGAGAGAGAGAGAGAGAGAGAGAGAGAGAGAGAGAGAGAGAGAGAGAGAGAGAGAGAGAGAGAGAGTGTTGTGAGTCTGTGTATGCCGGTTATTTCGTACGTTCTGTGCCACGGGACTACCGTCTTCCCCCGAACGCAACGCACCCTCATTATGGCTGTACCTGGCCAGAAAGATAGCTTGCGTACATTTATTATCAGGGTGCGTTATGTTCGGGGGAAGACGGTAGTTGTGTAATCCTTGTTGCTGGACCGGCGTTCTCGCTATGCTCTTCTCCCTTGATTACTGGTTTAGGGTCTAGGGTCGTTAACTCCCACCTCCTTTTCTTTGTGTGTGTGGGGGGGGGGAGGGGGGCTGGGTAGGGGTAGCTTCATAACCCCTCGTTCTGCTTCTGAGCCTACAACTCTCTCTCCCCTGCGTTTCTCGCTCCACCGAGGTTAGGTCCTCACGTCATCATCTCGTCATGCCACGTGGCACATGTACCACGTGGATACCACGTGGATGCCACGTGGCACCTCACCTTGGAAGCAATTGACGTGGATACCCATCTTGCTGCGCTGTCCTTTTCATCCTGTCCTCTCTTCATGGACACCCTGCTCTCTCTCTCTCTCTCTCTCTCTCTCCTGCTATGCTCCTCCTCCTCTCCCTCGTCGTCCTCTAATTGACTGTTGGAAGGCACGTGGATGGAGAAGGCACGTGGATGGAGGAGGCAGATTTGCATCTGTTCATACTAGCCCCTTGCTCTGCATATCTTTCCAGATCTTTCTGCCTCATTTCTTATTTTATTATTTGAGAAATTAATGATTTTTATCATTTTTTTTTAAATTATTTTTTTGAATGATGAGAAAGATGCTGTTCAGAGTTTACCGCCTTCGTCCGTTTCCTCCTAGGTCTTCATTTGTCAGCTTTTTTTTTTTTTTTTT